GAGCTGAAGCTGGAGCTGGAGCAGTGTGTGGGGCTGGGGGCCCAGGAGCAGAATGTGTGGTCGCAGGGCTCTGGCGGGGAGTGGAATTGTGCCTTGGGAGGTGGGGGGGGGGCAGCTCCCTGCCACTGCGTGCACTCCTGGGGTGGGGCATGGCAGAACCCTGCCCCTCCAGATTTATGCACAGGGAGGGTGCAAGCTGCCTGCTGCCAGCTCGGGATCCCCACCCTGGTGCCCTCCCTCCGCAGCCCAGCAGGTGGGACCCGGCATGCCAGGGCAGAGTGGGGTCAGGCAGGGAAACTTGGTGCCACCACTGCAAGCCCTGTGCCACCCTGGCAAAGTGCCTCCTGCCCACCCAGCAGCAGTTGGGGTGGCGGTGCAGAGTTGTGCCTCTCACTGCTTCTGGGAGGGTAGGCAACACCTTACCAGGGCAGTGCAGAGCTCCCAGTGGCAGTGACAAACTTCCCTGCCTGGTCCCACTCTGCCCTGCCTCTCCAGGTCTTTCCCACTGGGACACAGAGGTCCCAGGGGAAGGAAGCAGAGTGGGAATCCAAGCCTGCAGCAGGCATCCCACACCTCCCCTCCACCACAGGCTCTGCTCAAGCCATACCACCCATGCAGGAAGGGGAGCCAGGATCTGTGCACTGCTTTGCTGCAGCAGCTGCCAGCTCCCGTAGGGCTCAGGTGCTGCTATGGGGGGCAGGGGGCTGCAAACCTGGGTCCCTGACCCTGTAGCCCTAGCAGCTGGGGGGGGCACCTCTGGCAGGGCTGTGGAAGACTGTGGGTGGGAAGTGAGGGGCACCAACAGGGCTGGGGGGCCATAGCTTGGGATTGAGGGGCCTGGATCTGTGTCCTGGTGAGCAAAGGGGAAACTCTGATTTTCCATAATAGAAAACCCCAAATCAAATACCAGAATTTATAGGTACTTAAAATGTATTTCATTATAGTGATCAAAGGACTGGTAGGCCTCCAAATTTCTACAAAATTTACAAAATTGTAAATATATCAATAAAACATTGTGTTCAATTGATACTTATATATGCAGCAGTGTTTCATTTTAATCGGGGATTTCGGGTTTTTAAATCAGAAATTTGTAATTTTTAAACAGAGAAAACCAGGATCCCTGGTCATCATCACACTATAACTTGACAATTCTAAACAGATTTGTTAGGAGTCTATTATGGCTTTTAGCAGCACTCCATTAACCTTTTTATTTTTGTTGTAAACTTAGAAATCAATATTTGGCTGGCTCTTTGCCAGGCTGTAGGTTGAGCCTGTGTTTTTCAGAAAAGAAAGCCAGTTACTTTGGGTCCATCTACACAGATATAATAGCAGTGTAAACTTTCTAAGGACACAGGTTGAGGTGACTAATATTTCTCCAGAGATTTAAAATTTATAAAGCTAATTTATAAGCAGTAATATTTAAATACCCCTGTTAATAGGTAGTTGGTATCAAGACTCCATGAGGAAAAGAATGGCCCAGTGGCCAACATACTAGCCAAAGACTCAGGATTAAGTCTCCACTACATGCTTCCAATATATCCTAGGAAAAGTCTATAAGCTCTCTGTGCCTCAGTTCCTCATAGGTAAAATAGGAATTATAAAATCTCTTTACTGGATGCTATAAAGATTATACAATACTTAAATATGGGCACATATAAGAACCTTAAAGAGATTCAAAAGTGACTGCAGTTATCTAAGCTCCATAACATGGGATAGGTAGCTGTAAGAAGTGGGTATCCTGGGGCTGGTTGAGTTGTTGGCCTGCCAACTTGTCTCAGTGCTTAACCAACCACCTACTGTGCCTGCCAAGCCTTTGAGGAAATAATCAAAAGTTGTTAACCAGGCAAGAGGCGGCCTATTTACTTGCCCAGATGTCAAGGGCCTATACATGGCTCTGAATCTTCCCTTATACCATGTCCTGTGCATCCTTGGTCTAACACCTGACCTAAATTTACAGAGTCTAACACCCAGCCTATAATCCCTACGCCCTCACACAGCTCACAATCTCACTCACTCAGGGCTCCCAGCCCCTCCCTTTTTCTTGGGCTCCCTGCCTGTCTTGGGACCCTCTTGGTCCCCTCGCACCCAACACCGGGGCCTCATCCCCTGCCCAACACTGGGCCTCAATCCCCCGCCTGACACTGAGCCTCAATCCCCTTGCCCCTGGAGCCTCACATTCAGTTCCTTCTTGGGGCTCAGAATCCCACCCCCCTGGAGCCTTACACCCGGCTCTGTTTATATGCCTCAGGCCTCACTGTGCTGTCTGCCCCAACTCCAGGTGGCTCCAAATCTCCCCTATACTGCAGCCATGCGTCACAGATGATATCTAAGCTCTTAACGTCTCCAGCCCCACACTGGGCCCCATAACCTTCCAGTCTAGACCCCAACTAAATCACCCCCCCAAGGCTTTGTCTAGCCGAGTCTCAAAATCCTCCAAGGATGGAAATTCCACCACCTCTCTCGGTAACCTGTTCCAGTGCTGTACTACCTTCCCAGGGAGAGTTTTTCCTAATATCTAACCTCAGCCTCCTTGCTGCAACTTGGGCCCATTGCTCTTTGTTCTGTCATCTGCCACCACTGAGAACAATCTAGCTCCATCCTCTTTGGAACCACCTTTCAGGTAGTTGAAGGTTGCTATCAAATCCCACTCCTCCCTACCCAAATCTTTTCTTCTCCAAACTAAATAAGCCCAGTTCCCTCAGCCTCCCCTCAGGAGTCATGTGCCCTATTCCCCTAACCATTCTGTTGCCCTCTACTGAACTGTTTCCAATTTGTCCACATCCTTTCTATAGTGGAGGGGGAGGGGGGCAAAAATGGAAAAAGTACTCCAGATGTGCCTTCACCAGTGCTGAATAGAGGGAAAGAATCACTGCCCTCGATCTGCTGGCAACACTCCCACTAATGCAGTCCAGTATGCTGTTAGCCTTCTTTGCTACAAGAGCACACTGTTGGCTCTTATTCAGCTTCTTGTCCACTGAAACCCCCAAGTCCTTTTCTGTAGAGCTCCTAGCCAGTCGGTCCCCAGCCTGTACCAGTGCATGGAATTATTCCATCGTAAGTGCAGGATTTTGCACTTCTCTTTATTGAACCTCATGAGATTTCTTTTGATTTAATCCTCCAATTTGTCAAGGTCTCTCTGAATTGTAGCCCTATCCTCCAGCATATCCACTACTCCCCCCCAGCTTGGTGTCATCTGTGAACTTTCTAAGGGTGCACTCCATCCCATCTTCCAGATCATTGATGAAGATATTGAACAAAACTGGCCCCAAGACTGACCCCCTCGGGCACTCCACTTTACACCAGCTGCCAACTAGACATTGAGCCATTGACTACTACCGTCTGAGCCTGATGATCCAGCCAGTTTTCTATCCACTTTAAAGTCCATTCATCCAAACTGTACTTCCTTAGCTTGCTTGAAAGAATGTTGTGGGAAGCTGTATCAAAAGCCTCTGATAATGTACCATGAAAAAGCCCTTAAAAATGAAAACAGTGTGATATTCTATTTTCAGAGATCAACCTAACATGAGATAGACAGGTGTCACATAAGCAGCATAATGTACTTGAACAGATTATTGTTTTCAATGTACTACTCTTGCTCACATTGAACAGTTCCTTATATTATGAATAGAGTTTTTATTTCAGTAGGCCTGGTGATAAAATAATATAATAATGCCAGTAAACACAGGAGAATCAAGTCTTGTATAAGTTCTATCCTTATACACACAACATGGGCTTATTCAAGGAAATGCTGAGTCCCCACATCTTTGTTCATAACACTATCATGCTCTCAAATAGGAGGTCACTTTCATGATCATGTTTTATGGGTAGGGGTGGGTTAGCCAAAGTCACCCAGTAAATGAGCTGCACAGTTTGGAATAGAATACAAGTAATCTGAGTCCCAGGCTTAGGCAGTCTCCATTAGGCCACCTTGACTTTCCCACTGAAAACTATGGGTGTTGTGCACACTCAGCACTTTCAGTATCAACCCCACTTTGTGTGTTTATGTTCAGTTATAAGCTCATATAAAAGTTGCATAACCTTTCTTCCAAAAGAAATTTGTTATTCAGATAATATTTTTCAACAATGTAATCACTGAATGCAGATGCCTGTAATCTGGCCAAAGGCTTTTTACATCCACATATTTTCCTAAAATAGCTTACAGAGAGAAAACAAACAAACAAGCATGCTCTCTTTTTCAATGCAGGACTGCAGACTAGCTATTTACACTACATTTCTTTCTTATAAAGCATCTGAGGTTGGAACTCTGCATTCATTAACAATAAAAAGCCTCACCATGCTGTACACTGGTTTTGATGCTTCACCAATAGTGTCACACAATTGTGGTGAGTCAGTCAATTAAAAAAAACCCTGCAGTTTGGGAAGTGGCTAGGCAAATAAATGGATTGGTGTAGGTTTGTGACATCTAGAAGTAAATAGGCAGAACTCAGAGTTATACTCAGAGTTAATTTATAGAAACAAAGATTGTAATGTATTTGACACAAAGATAGTATTTAGTTTGGTTACCCAGAGGAACTGTCACTAAATCATCTCTGGACATATCAGTTCAAATCCTAACTTGAAAAAATCAGAGCTGGTGGAAAAAATATGGGTTGTCAAATGAAACCATTCAATTAAGTGACTGGTTGCTATGGTGATGGGAAACACAAGCACAACTGCATCAGGTCTTTAAATGTTTAGAAATTGGCTAAATCCAAAATAAGGATTGGACTGCCATGTTTAAGGGAGAATCATTGCTACACAGAAAACTGGGAAAGGCTGGTTAGAAAGCAGTGTGGTGAGGGCTTCAAGGCTGATGGTATGGCATAGAGCAAATAAAACATTAGCACACACTGCAATGTTACTGCTAATTGATTATATAAATGCAAAGGTGTCACTTTTAATACCAGATCAGAAGGTGATGATTCCATTTTATCCCAGGCTTTGTTGACTGCATTTAAAGCAC